ACGAACCCCAACAAAGCAGGCGGCGTGGACGGTCTCAAGTTGCACGATATCAAGAGGGCCCCGCAGGGGGCACGCCAGAAGCTGGTCGACCTCATCAACATGTGCGAGCAGACGGGCACGTGGCCGAGGCAGTGGACGGCGACACTCGGGGCCGTGGTCCCGAAACCAGCAGGCGGAGAGAGGGTGTTGGGGATGCTACCCCTACCAGTCAAACTGTGGAGCAGGACGAGGGCGTCACCGTGCAGTGAATGGAGTGAGGCGCTGAGCGCGCATTGGGACACGGCCCTCAAAGGCAGCTCGGCGTTGAGGGCTGGTCTGCTCCGTGCCTGCCTGGGCGAGGCGGGGTGCGAGCTGGGCATATCCAGCCTCACTCTCCTTGAGGACATCGAGAAGTTCTACGACAGCGTCAGCCTGGTGATGCTGATGCGCGTTGCGAGGGGCATCGGATACCCAGCAGTCGTGGTGGAAATGGAAGTACTCATCTTCGCGGCGGCACGGTTTCTCAAAGACAAGTCGGCGCTGAGTGAGGCTATATGGGTATCCAGATCGATTGTTGCGGGGTCGCCCAGAGGAGTCGGCCTCGCGAAGGTGTTTCTCCACCCAGTCCTACAGCGAGCGCACATCATATCGCCCACAGCGGGGCTCTGGACCTTCGTCGACGACGCTGTGGCTCGAGAGGAAGGCACTTCACAGGACACCCCAGATAAGATGGTAAGAGTGGCTTGCGAGCTCGCCCAAGGACTTCATCAACAGGGGCTCAAGATCTCAGACAAGACAGTCATCGTTGGATCGTGCAGGGACATGGTCAAGAGCGTGGCTAAGAGGTTGCAGCAGAACGGCGCCCCAGCCAAGGCCAAGACCTTCACGAAGGACCTGGGCCTCGACGCCGCGGCTGGGCGCAAGCGAGTTGTAAGGGCACTATAGAGACGCATCCTGGCAGCCAAGAGACGGTTCGGCAAGATCAAGAGGCCGAGGAAAAGTACCACCTTGGCGAAAGAAGCGAAAGGGCTATGGTCAACGGGCGCCATGCCCCAGGCCACATACGGACATCAAGCGTTCGGCCTTTCCATGACGGAGCTGATGAAACTTAGAAGACAAGCTGGGCAGATCGCAGCAGGATCACAAGGAGGCAAATGTCTGACTACAACACTGGCAATCGAGATGTGGGACAAGGAGCCAGGTCTGGAATTGCGCAAACGAGTTGTTCACGAGTGGCTGGCTATGTGGCAGGTCAATCCCCAGATCCATGCGAGAGTCAAGTTCGCATGGCCAAAGATCAGGCAACGACTGGTCACGGCTGGACGGAGGAGATGGGCCTATGTCAGAGGCCCTATCGCCACACTGCAGGCCACGCTGATGGACATTGGCTGGAACCCCATCAAGGCGACAGAGTGGGACAGACCACTACCTGAAGGACAATTGCAGGCCTGGCTTATCCCCGGCGCCACGGACACGGAGTACACGAACGATTGGGGGAGGATCGCTATCCTGGGAGATGTGGTCAGTGATATGCGCAGGTTGTATTGGCAGCAGGCGTCGAAACACGAGGATGGAGCGGACCTTCACCAAGGAGCTGATGTATGGAGAATCAGAGCAGAACAACGTAAGTTTCACAAAGAAGGAGCTTCAGATTTAGCGGCGCTCAACTTGACAGTTACTACAGGTGGGCAGTGGACCCGAACGAGGCGTGCCAGACAAGGATATCTGATTGAGTCCAAGCTTTGTCCGTGCTGCCTGCTCAAAGATGAGAGTTTGTATCACCGCATTTGGGAATGCGAGCGGAACAAGGGCCACGAGGACTTCGAGAAGTCGGAGGCGCTTGTGGTGCAGGCGGCGGCGCAGCACGAAGCGTCGCCTGCCCTGTGGCTTCGGGGTGTGCCAGCCGTTGGGCTCACCACTCCTGACTTTGATGAGGCGCTCATCGGCCAGCTTCAGGTGGATTTTTATTCACATGGCTTCGCCGAATGCAAAGAGGCAGGCAGAGTTCACATTTTCGGAGACGGCTCGGGGGGCAAATATTCTGACGACCCCAGAAGGAGGCGCTGCGGAGCAGCGATCGTGGGGCTCGTGATGGATTCGGGAGGCGGGCGGACCTTGGGGGAGGCTCTCGGGGTTCCTCTGCTCGGAGAAAAGCAAACGGTCACCCGAACCGAAGTTTTAGCCTTCTGCCTGGCTCTAGAGCAAGTAGATTCAGATTGCGGTTTCACATTTGTGACGAATCATATGACGATCCCCAGGACCTGGAGGGCCCGCTTTCGGAGGCCCAGCCCTGTGGGCGCCAACGGAGACCTCTGGGCCAGGGCCCGCAAAGCCTTCCAGGCCAGGATAAATTCAGACGTGGAAGTTGTATGGTTCCCCTCCCACCAAGAGGAGGCCCCAGAGAAATTAGACACGCGCGAGAAACTCTTTTATGCCTCTGGCAACGCCTGCGCTGATTCGTGGGCGGGGGAGGCGGCGGAGTTGGCGTGGAGGGGTTTGGTGGGGAGGGAGCCTGAGACGGACAAAATAGATGCCACAGCTTCGCTGATTCGTCGAAGGGCCAGAAGAGCCCTAGTGTACGCAGCGGAGGCCGAGGAAAACAGTCGGGCGGAGAGACCCCCTTCGAAGAAGGTGGACAGACCGTCCAAGCTGGTGGCCGCGGCACAGGCCTCGGACCACATCCTCGAGCCATGTGGGCGCAGCATGAAATACTGGTGGTGCACGGTCTGTGAGAGAGTGGTGCCCCGCTACCAAACGCGGGGCTTTGCGGCCACGATTTGTTCAGGGCCTCCTGCCGAAGTCAGGAGAGGTGCCCAGGCCGCAGTCGGAGAAAGGTTTGCCCCCTCGTGCCGAGGGAGCGGCTTGCTGGAAAATGTTCACCCCTCTCACAGGCTCCAGTATGTGGGGAAATGGTTCCTGCACATTTGCACGGAGTGCGGTTCCTATTGCACAATGGGCCCCAGGAATTTAGTTGCCAGATGTGACGGGCGGACCAATAAGGGTTCGGAGAACCTTGCGAGGATTAGCAAAGGTTTGTTCCCGCGTCGTGAAGGCCCCCCGAGGGCTATTTTAGAGGCCATCAGGGCTCGTGAAGCAGCTGCCTGCGCGGATGTGGCAGCTTTGCACAGGCGTCCGCAGTCGGAAAACCCAGGATCCGACCAGGTTGGCCAGGGTGCTGGGCCTTCGGGGGCACAGACGGGAGCGGGGACGGACCCCGCGGCTCCTGCCAGGCCTGGCCAGGCCCACGAAAGCGATTCCAGTGATTAAATCGCCCCCCAGGACAGCGTCCGCTTTCAAAGAGTCAACGAGTCCTGCTCCTGCTCCTCCTCTTCCTCGTCCTGCTCTTGCTGCTGCTGCTGCTGGTCCTCCTCCTCCTCCTCCTCCTCCTCCTCCCCCTCCTCCTCCTCCCCCTCCTCCTCTTCCTCCTCCTCCTCATCCTCCTTCCCCTCCTCGCACGATTGTCGCCTTCGCCGTCGTCCTCCTCATGCGGAGGAGTGAGGAGGATCATCTGGAAGATGCTTGGTGTCCATACGTTTCCTTTGTGCGCGTTCGGATAGTTCGTCTATATTACATTTGATCACGATGATGATGCAAGTTCTTGCGCAACTCTTCCCTTTCACGCGCTTCTCGTTCATGTCAGGGAAAGTTTTCGGATCCTCGGAAGTGGGCGTTTCGCCCGAGACATCCTCCAAACACTGGGATGCCGATACAGCTCTTGTAAGGCATCTTTTCGGAGCGATCTCGGATGACCCCCAAGATGGCCCAAGACGCGAAAATATTGAAACACCCACGTGTTTTTAACATTTCGTTGAAAAATCAGAGTTTCACTCGAGACATCCCTTACAACATGCCTTCGAACGGGCCCTCGAAGCTATCTGGTCTCCTCCTCCTCCTCCTCCTCTTCCTCCTGCTCCTTCTCCTCTTCCTCCTTCTCCTTCCCCTTCTCCTTCTCCTTCTCCTTCTCCTCCTCCTCCTCCTCCTCCTCCTCCTTCTCCTCCTCTCCCTCCTCCTGTTCTTGCTTCTCCACCTCCTCCTCCTCCTCCTTCTCCTCCTCCTCCGCTCGTTCTTCCTCCTTCTCTTTCCTCCTCCTCCGCCTCGTCTTCCTCCTCCTCCTCCTGCTCCTGTTCCTCCTCTTCCTCCTCCTTCTTGCCGTCCCCTCCTCACCCTCTGTTCCTGCTCTTGCTGCTGCTGCTGCTGGTCCGCCTCTTCCTCCTCCTCCTCCTCTTCCTCCTCCTCCTCCTTCTCCTCCGCCTCCTCCCAATTTCACTCGCTTCCCGTTCATGTCGAGAAAGGTTTCCTTAGCCCACTCCGCGGTGATCAAAATTTTCAGACATACGACGTCCTGATTTTTCAAAACGCGGTCCCCAGAAATCCCGACTCTTTCCCTGGGGCTCGATTTTCATCCGCGTCCTTCCTTGATGGCCCTGGGGCCCGGCGAGGGCCCCCCCCTCCCTCCCCCCTAGGCCGAAAACCGCGGACCAAAACCTTCGCCTCCACTCGGGGGCGCGCACACCTGGATTAGTGAAGAATGGATTTGGCGCGCGGTCCCCAAATCCATGGATCGGGGGAGGTGCCCTCCCCCAAAATGCGGCAGGTGCCGCCTCGTTCGGCGGCGGAAATCCGCGATTTCCCATGGAAACGGGACCCGTCGCTAATCCACGCCCCCTTGATCCATGTTTGCGATCGCCTGAATATCGAGCCGCATCGCCGACGCATCGGCGATACGGCGCGATCCTCCCGCCCCCACCCGCTCGGAGCCCACCTGGGAGGCCTCTCCTCCTCCTCCTCCTCCTCCTCCTCCTCCTCCTCCTCCTCCTCCGCCTCCTTCTCCTCCTCCTTCTCCTCCTCCTCCTCCTCCTCCTCCTCCTCCTCCTCCTCCTCCTCCTCCTCCTCCTCCTCCCCCTTGATCCATGTTTGCGATCGCCTGATCCACGCGTCGGATCTTTGGGCGCTTCCGCGCGCCGCCGCGATCCCCCCAAAAGGGTCGTGCCCGGCGGTCTTTTTGCTCCCGCCGGCAGGGCCTTCTGGGCGGCGGCCCTCGCCGCTTCCTCGCTGCGCACGGACGTCTCCTCGGTGGCGGGGGGGGGGGCAGAGGAAGGAGGGAGGGCGAGGAGGAGGGGGAGGAGGAGGAAGAGGGGGAGGAGGAGGAGAGGAGGAGGAGGAGGAGGAGGAGGAGGAGGAGGAGGAGGAGGGAAAATGGAGAAGAAGTACATGGTGTAAGGAGGAGGTTGAGGAAGAGGAGAGGGGAGGGAGGAGGATAAGGAGGATTGGGATTCAGGGGGCAGGGGCGAGGAAGAGGGAGGACGAAGAGGGCAGAGCGGTGACGGATGATGATGATGATGATGATGATGATGATGATGATGATGATGATGATGATGAGGATGATGAAGATGATGATGATGCTGATGATGATGCTGATGATGATGATGATGATGATGATGATAATGATGATGCTGCTACTGATGAGGCGAGGGCAGGAAGGAGGATGAAATCGGCGGTCTCCGATACTGAAACCTCCATCGTCTAAGACACTGTGTGTGCTTATGCGTGCAGAACAAACTTTGACATTCCGGTATTCAGACTCAAATTTTGAAGCCAATGGCAGACACACGTACTTGGGTTTACAGATCATTGGATGTATCATCTGGTTGTAAAAAGGAATGCTCGGGTACTCTGGTACATGTATATATGCACACATGCACTTACACACATACGTACGATTCCTCCTTAGTATCATGCACACCTCTCCGAAGGAGTAAAGCTCAGAGGCTATTATTGGAGTCCCCGTCCCGTTCGCGATATTTCTTGCCACTTCGCTCTGGACATTCTCAGACTTCTGACATTCGGGCGCGCCGCTCATGCATATCGCAAGTCAGGGACACAACCACACAAGTAGCTTTAATGTTAGAACATACAACCTTCACATGCACACTGGAAGTCAATGGGCTTGCACGCACTTCTTATAACATCATTTGGCCGTACAGGTTTTTCCGAGTAATGCTTCAACGTTTAATTTTACAACATGCCAGAACACCATGGAAACTACTTATGTTGCACATCACTGTGATACTGTCACTTGTTTACCCTTGTTTCTTCCGTGACCACAACAATGCTTTTCAACATTCCGTCTAGCCCCGCGCTGTGGCAACCCCATCGGTGACCCCCCGTTGCTTTTTGTATGAACCTGGTCACACACGTGCTACTCTTTGCATGACACGGGGCATCTTCCGGGTTGACGTCACAAACAATCCACCCCCACCGAAGACGGCCCGAATGACTGCCTCCAACGGGGGAGGTCCAAAACTCCAGGACCGCTCAGACGGACCCCCAAATCAAGGCAGAGTGTCTGAAGATGTCCCCAAGCAGCTCCGAGACATCACCAAAGAGGCCAACCTCATTGACAAACACATTGTTTCGGTATGCTTTCCTCATTTTGGTCTCAAGTGCGTCCCAGGCGGCCCGAGAAGCTCGCAAAGAGTTTCAAGAAATCCACACAAAGGTACCCACGATTTTCTCAGGAGGCTCCCAGAAACTCGCAAGGTGCACCCAGTAGACATCCCATAAGCACCAAAGAGGCCCAAGGCCGCAGGACGGCCCACGAGCTTCCGACGAGGCCCACAACGGCTTCGAAGACTACCCAAAGAGACTCCCAAATGGACACCAATCAGACGTGGACGTCAAGGAGGCCAAATACACTTCAAGACTGTCCTTGAACAACACGTGTGGCCAGAACCTATTTCCACACCCTTCGGCGATCTCCCATGCAGCCCGCGCGGGTCTGCAGAGGGCCTTCGGGCGCCACCAGAGTGAGTCTGGGGACGCCTGGGCGGGCTGTGGGGCGGCTTCAGAAGGTCACAAGGAGCTCGAAGACGCCCTACGTGCCCGCCAAGATGTCCCAAGAAAGCTATTGGATAATTCCAAGAGGGTCAGACACAAAAAACACAGAAGCTCCAAACATATCCCAACATGGCCCCAACATGTCACAAGATAACCCCGCAATCATCTCCCAAAGAGCAGACTCATTGACACGTGTATTTTTGGATTCTTTGCTTCCGCCTGCAATAATCCTAACGGCCCCGCGGTTAACCCACACAGCGTGTGAACATGCCTCACGAGAACCCCAAGATGGAGAATAATGGCTCATTGGTGCCCCCACAGCGGCCGAAGAGGGTTCCAACGGGTGCCCAACGGAACGCAATGCAGTCTAATACAACCAAAGACAGCCTAATCTTGGCCTGGTGACAGCCCACGCTAGCCAAGGGGGGGGGCTCCAAGAGGTCCAAATGTTGCGAACATGGCCCCCGCATGGTCAAGCAAATGAATGAACGCGGGACAACTTATTATTGTTGTGGGTGGTTTCAATTTCCCAACCCAAAGAACTACACGATTATCCCGGGTAGTCCACAGAGCGTCTAACAACGCCTCCCCCAAATACTTCGTGAACCCTTCAGCAAACTGCTTGCCCACGGACCAGGCACGGTGGCGGGATGGTCCGAAGGCCATTGTAGATACACGAAGCACCTGCGCACATCCAGATATCAACTTTTGCACGCTTGTGTATCGGACTGTACGGCCACAATCTGGATCAACATTTACACTCAAGGATTGAACTGTGAAGGTGGGAGCACGAACATCAAGCGGGTTGGCCCAACAAAAATGACACAGGGGGGAAGAAGGAGAACGGAGGAGGAGGAAGACTAACGACAGGCAAAGAAGGGGACGGGAAAGAATACTCGGTAACGGAATAGGACGGGGAGTCGGAGCGGGAGGATGATATGGACGAAGGGGGATGAAGCACGAGGAGAACAAAACACGGAGGACCAGGGAAATAAGGACAGGACTTATGGAGTGAAAACGACACTGTTATGGTGCATGTTCTCAGACGCACTTCTCCGAAAGAGTAGAGCTCATAAGCGAATGTCTTGAAGCCGGGCGCACCGCTCACGCAAATCGCGACTTCAACTTCAAACGACGCAACGACCTTCAACCACTAAAACGAAACAACCAAACACGCAGTGCATGTCGACGGTGTTGCAAGTCGCTATTAGAACACAATTTTTTGGTTCAGTCGTTCCGTGTGAATTTTTTCAACATGTTCTGATCTGCCGTAGTGGGCTTCATTGGCTTGGCACGTATTTGTTAGAAGAGCATTGCTTTGTACTTGGCCTCGCTGTACTCTAATTTTACAACATCATGGTTTTTGCATGCCCACAGGGGTGCTTATCATCGTGCGTCAACTGTCAAAATGTGGCGACACTGTCGGGGACCCGCATGTGACCTGGGCGCGCACGTGCCTCTGGTATATGTTTAGGTGTTGCTTGTACACCTAGATAAATGCACGTTTGTGTGTACGAGCTCCCGATATACATATGTATATCTGTTCACCCCCAGGTGATCCACCATATCGCTGCTTTGGTGCCCCATTGGCTTTGCTCTTTTCTACCAGGAATGGCCCACGTTAGTCTGCAGTGTCTACAAGTGTGCACGCTGCTGTTAGTCAGTAAGGTCCTTTCGACATCTCTACTGTGCGCATGCACAGGTCATAGCCTTTCTCCCAGTACGTCCACTGCTCAGAACGAATGCGCGTCCACATCGATATGTTGTTGACCTTGTAGGAGCGCTTGGCCAACTGCGTTCACACGTGGAACCACGAGCGATGTATTACACGCGTACCTGTTTGACAAACAAGTGGTGCTAACGGGAAAGAATGTGCTTCATTATCCCCGGATATTTCGAGTTCGCCCATACTGTCTTCCATTTACGGTTGGCCTTATTTTGCAATGCGCCATGTTTTCGTGGATGGCCCCTGGAACGTGCAACTTGTATGTGCGGGTCCCGTCGGTATACAGCACCACGTTGGTATTCTCCAAATGCTGAGAATGGTCGGCCACCGCGCGTCAGGAATACTCTGGATCTCATTCCTGGATGTTTGATATTGTACATGAGTCAAGAAAGCTCGCCTGAGCATCGTTCACAAACAGGGTTGTGGCATGCGCGGGCGGACCGTCAGGCATCTGGCAGCAGCTGGTTTGGATTTGGAGAGGCAGCGCCAGAAGCAGTTGTAGGAACCAACAAACCCAACAGAGGGGAAGGGGACATCCACAATTGGATGCCTCTGCTGTTTTCCCTTTACACGGTCTTTCCAATCGTTCTCTTTGTTCCATGCTCTATGAAAAAAGGGTATTCATTGACGCGAAAGGCCCCCCGACACACACAGCGAAACGTAAGCGCGAGTACAACTAGCGTGGTCCGACACTGGAATCTTTCAACGCAGCATGCGACACACGCAAGGGCTATGCAGAACTGCCCTTAGGTTCCCCAGAAAACCCCGAGTGCACCTACACCGCGATGTTTTTTTCTAAACGTTGCTTCCCGCGCCCAGGAACAACATTTTAACCACTGCGCATATTTTTCCTTGTTGGTGAATTTACCAGTACGTCCCAAGAGGGCATTGGCGCCGCGGTGTGTTTTCGGAAGGTTATATTTCGGCTTACTGAAACAATCAATCATACATATACTTTCTTCTTAGGCTGCCAGAGATCTCCAGAAAGTGTCTGCACCGCGGTATGGCTTCCAGGCGGGTTTACATGGGAATCGGTTTTTGTTGACACAAGACAAAAACATGAACCGCATCACACAAGGCAATATGATGTGGCGGCCTTGCAAGGTGATTGGTTCTGTCCAGCCACGCAAACAGATTTCGTTTCGTGGCGGCCTTAGTGTAGACTTTCTTCTGTAGCAACATTGTTACACAAGGATTTCCTGTAATGGCGGACTAGACGCATTATTTATGCTTAAGAGACCTTGCAATTTGGTTTTCCTTTGCACTCGCCTTACACACGCGCATATTGTTGTGGCGGCCCGTACAACTGGATTTCATTTTGTGGCGGCCTTACAGAAACGATTCTTTTTGTGGCGGCCCTACAAACGATTTCTTCCGTGGCAGCCTTGCCGACAATATTCTCTGTGTGACGGCCTTGCGAACTAACTTCCTTGTGGAACGGCCTTGCAAAAAAAAAAAATCCATTTGTTGCGGCCTTGCAACATTATTCCCTGTGTGGCTGGCTTACACAAGATTTGTTTTGGTCCATACAACCACAATAAGAAAATAATGTAACATCCAATGAGACCGGACATTGCAATGATGTATATGATGTTGGCGCCAGAAGACGGGAAACAGTATGAAAACAAAACGGTTTCAGCAACCGAGGCTCCCAAACGCTGTAAATCACAATGTTTCCAGCAATCGGAATTCTCGAACTCTGGAAAACAACCGCTTTCAGCTATCGGACCTCCGAAGCTGTGTTTTACAAATCGTTTGACATCGGACGTAAGAAAACATTGAAAACAAAAACGCTGCGTTCCATATCTCCGATCATTGAAAATGATTGTTTTAACGGCGTTTGGGAGCTCCGATTGCTGAAAACGCTGTTTTAACGATTGCTGAGAATTGTGTGTTCACCATTTTTCCAGCCTCCAGCACCAGCATTAGTGGAACGAAAGATTTACAAGGTCATTTGATTATATATATGTGTGTAAAGTATTGATACATTATTTCTTACCTTGGTGTCTTCCGGTGCCACCCCCATCTGGAAATCATTGTGAAAAAAGGCCACCGCGAAATCAATCCTTCTGTAAGGACGCCACTCAGAAAATCCATGTGTACGGCCATCTCAAAAGGAATCCTTTTGTAGGGCCACCACAAAACGAAATCATTTTGTAATGCCGCTGCAGAACGGTTTTTCTCAGACAGCCGCAAGACAAATTTCTTTGTAAGGCAGCTGCAAACAAGCGCATTCTCTTAACAACGACAGAACTTGAAACGAACCCGGCAGACATGTATTCTTTTCGTATGGCCTCCACAACAAGAGCAACACATAAACAAGTAAGACGGACATGTACGCACCGCGCAGATTAGAAGCACCAGCTCGAAGCACGAACGGCGCTCAAATCAGAAGCACAAGTGCTAATACAGATCGCAACATATTATTTGTGCGGCAGTGTGTGTACATGTATATGTATATGTACACATATATATATATGTATGTTTGTATGTCTGTATATTTAGATATGTACATACATATAGATGTATGAAACTATATGTGTGTACATGCATGTATTTGTGGGCGTGTACATCTAGCTATGCCCCTATACGCGCCAGTGTGCCGCTGGGCACGGAGTGGGCGTGTCCTCAAGTCTTTTGCCTAATGTCTTACGCACTCGGCCTGGAGCTCAAATCCGCAAATCTCCTGGGCCTTGCCGCGTCTTCTCGCGTGACCAAGAGTACTGCAAGACGGGCCAATATTGGCCTCAAGACGGTCCATGAGTCCCCGAGCCGAGCGATCGCTCCAAAATATTCAAGATTACCCCCCAGGCGGTCCAAGAGGCTTCCAAGAGGCCTCCCAAGACGCCAAAAAACATGGACTTCTTGAGGTTCTGAAGTTTTTTTCGGCGTTCTCGCCTTTTCGGTTTCCCGACGGTCCCAGACGGCCCTAGAGGCTCCCAAGATCGCCCCACGACGACCCAAGAGGCCTTCAAGAGGGCCCCCCAACGGCCGAACAGGGCTTTGAGACAGCCCAAGAAGCCCCGAAGACGGCTCCAAGAGGGGGCCCAAACCCCAGCGGGCATTTCGAGCCCTCGGCACCGAGGGCCCCCCAGGAGGTCCCCAAAACCCCCCAAGAGGCCCCAACGCGCTCGCCAACAGGTCCTAAGAGGCCCCAGCGAAGGGCCCCCAAGAGGCAACTAAGAGGTTCCCAAAGAGGCACCACCACTGCCCCAAAGAGGCCCCCGAGAGCGCTCCCGAGAGACTCCAAGAACCATCCCTGGGAACTCGGACCCACAATCCAAGGACGGAGGCGGGATGGGCCGCAGGCGAGTACATAGTTGTGTACATCTGTTTACATTTACATACACACATACATACATACATACATACATACATACATACATACATACATACACACATATGTATGTATGTATATATGTATGTGTGTGTATGTATGCATGTATGTATGTGTGTGCATGTATGTTTATGTGTATATATACACATACATGTATATTTGTATGTATATGTATATGTACATGTATATGTACATGTATATGTACATGCATATGTATATGTATATGTTTACGTATATGTATAGGTATATGTATATGTATGCATGTATGGATGTATGTATGTATATACATACATATATACATATATGGAGCTGGAAGTGGATCTCTCGCAGGCCTTGGGCGAGAGCGGCGTGGTTGCGTCTCCTCGAATGCTATCTGCAGGGCGGGAGGAGGCCGCCGCGTCTTTCGTCTGCTTCGAGTGGACGGGCGGCTGCGCCCGCGCCCACAGGTGCGCTGTCGGCTCGGGCCCAGGATGTGCCCCAGAAGAGCCGTCTGTGCGCTTTATGAACACCCATGATTCGAGCATGCTCGCCACTTCTTCGCAACTCTCGAAAAACAGGCGTCGGGTGCATTGAGATGTGCCCCAGGCCAGTCACAGGCCAGCACGACATTGAAACACCTAAACAACACGAAGAAAAACCAAACAACAACCAAAGAAACCAAAGCCTTAAGACTGGAAGTCTCCAATAACACAAGGAAAGCCACCAACACAACAAACACAAACAAATATTGGGAGGCTTTCTCGGTTGCGGCGGCGGGGGTGGCGTACGCATTTTTTCCCATGTGTTTTTGGAGTTTTCCGGTCTTAAGGCTTTGGGTTATTTGGTTGTTTTTGGTTTTTCATTTGTTTTTGTTTCTCAATGCCGTCTTCCTCTTCCTCCTCGCGGAAGGAAGACCCGTCGCGCCCACAACACAAGGTGTGGCTGAAACTCATTTACTCGAAGGTGGTCACCCACAAGTTGCCTGACGGCTCCACGATCAAAATGAAGGCGGGGGCCCAAATCATAGACCGCGCATGGAGGTTCATCAAGCATCTCATCGGCACGCGCACAAACCTTCCAGGCAGCAGGCAGCTCGCGGCTTCTGTTCGCTCGGCACAGTTCGAGTATTGGAACAGGGGCCAGGACTTGTGGGCGGCGACCGCGGGCGCTATCTGGGAGGGCATGGACTCGGCGTGCTGAGGCGGTTTCGGCATGCTCTGCGCGGAGATGACCGGCGTGTTCTGTGTGTGTGTGTGTGTGTGTGTGTGTGTGTGTGTGTGTGTGTGGGGGATACTCTTGCTTGCACTGAAGGCGGTTTTTCAATGTTGGAATGCGTTCCGCGTTGCGGTATGTTGGACCAGCATGGCGGGTGTGCCCAAGCGAAAAAGGGAAGAGGAAGAGGAAGACGCCCTCCTGAGGGTACAGAGGGACTGGGATCCAGCGCGAGAGAATACAAAAAAAACGTGCCGCCCTCAGCTCGAAGTTGCACTGCCCCGCTGATGGATGGATGGATGGCACGCTCATCCAGGCAGCGACTGAATGCAAGCTTGCAAGCAAGAGAAAATTTGACGTCGATCACTCGGTCGTTTTGTCCTCACCGCCCAAGGCGAGGAGCTGCTGACGGGACAGGCCCCAAAGCACCCCGCTGAAGGAGGATGCGAGGATGAGGAAGTGCGACGGAGAGCGGGGAGCAGATGCGGGAGGGGAGAATATGTATGATCATGTGTGGTGTGTGTGTGGGGGGGGGGGGGCAAGCACATATATATATATATACATATCGATGAGCGTGTGTGTGTGTGTGTGTGTGTGTGTGTGTGTGTGTGTGTGTGTGTGTCTGTGTGTGTGTGGTGTGTGTGTGTGTGTGTGTGTGTGTGTGTGTGTGTGTGTGTGTGTGTGTGCGTGCGTGCGTGCGTGCGTGTGTGTGTGTGTGTGTGTGTGTGTGTGTTTGTGCTTCTATGTGTAGGACGATGATGAGGAAGGTGGGAGGAAGGGAGGGAGAGGGCCAAGGAGGGTGATAACGAGGAGCAGGGGGGACGATGCGGGGAGGTGGGAGGAGACATGATACATCTACATCTATCTGGGTGGGGGAGAAGGATTGGGATAATGCTGCTTCTGCTGCTGCTGCTGATGATGATGGCAACCGCGGTAATGATGGTCATGATCACGGTGGTGAGCGGAAGGAAAAGGGTGATATCTGAGGCTAGGAAACAACGGCTTGGAGGAACAATGGGGAAGATAAGGAGAAACACGGAAGAGCGAGGAGGAGGAGCATGAGGAACAGGAGGAGGAAGAGGAGGAGGAGGAGGAGGAGGAGGAGGAGGAGGAGGAGGAGGAGGAGAAGGAGGATGAGGAAGAGGAGGAGGAGGATGAGGGAAAGCGTCTCCTCGCTGGCGAGGAGGCGCCTCTTCATGGAAGCCAACTCGCCCTCCATCACGCTGAGCTGCGCCTGGAGCTCCGCGTTCTCCTAGACTGGTCGACAGCACTGACGCCCACGGGGCCAAGGTGGGGAGGGGGGTCAGACACCTGGAACGCCTGCATCCTCCTCCTCCTCGCCCGCCCAGAGGGCCCAGGCGGGGAGGGGGGTCAAGCACCTGGAACGCATGCATCCTCTGCTTCTTCTTCCTCCTCCTCTGCCTCCTCCCCCAGGACCGCTCCCCCCAGATCCCCGACGACGTCTTGACTTGTTTCAACAAGGGGTCCCCGGACCTCTCGACCACCTCCCGGGGACCTGGCTATTCGCTCCAGATCACTTTCCGAAGACTAACAACACATCGCGCCTGGTTTATTCTTAGACGTTGGGTGCGATGGAGGGATGAAGGGGGGGGAAGGGATAGAGGGGGAGGGGGCGGAGGGAGGAATGCGGGGGAGTTGGGGGGGAACGAGAGAAGGAGGAAACAAACAATGTGCGCTCGCACGACATCTGGCATCCTACCGCTCCCACCTGTCCCTTCCCATTGCGTTCTGTTTTTGTTTTTCTCTCACTCTCTATCCGTCTCTTTCTCAACCCACCGACGGGTGTCACAGCAGACCTGGATTACCCGAGCGGACACTCGAGTGGTGCGTGCAATCTGGAGACCGGGGAGCTGTTTACACTGGAGGAGGAGGTCGCGAATGTAGAAGAAGAAAAAAACGCCATAAACATAAAATGTTGGCGCTCCGCTTGGATTTCTTGGATCCGCGCTGCACCCCCCCTCCCTGGCGCGCGGAGCGCGCGAGGGGCGGCGCCGGAGGCGCCGCCGGGGGGCCCCAGCGCGGATCCAAGAAACTCGCGCGGAGCCACAAGTTTCTGTTTCTTGCGTTTCTTCTTCTGCGAGAATGAGCAGGAGGATGAGCAGGTGAGAGCCCTGACCTTCCAGAGTGCAAAAAAAAAACCCTCCAGACCTATAGACCTATCTGGGCTGCCTTAAACCCCGACAGGAATTAAGATATCGATGTCCTGGTGCTATCTTTTAGCCCTCCTGGAAGGTCAGGGAAGGAGGAGGTGGAGGGATGGGAGTGAGGGTCGTGAGAGGGTTGAGCGTTGAGGGGCACGGAAGGCTTGGGCCCCAGCCCTCGCCCTCCTGAGGGGCAACGATAGGGGGGGACTGGCATAGGGGGGGATGCATCGACCTGGAATCGGCGATACGTCGCCGATGGATCGGCGATGTGCCTCTGATGGCGAGTGCGCACCTTCCTGGGCAGGTTGGGGCTATCGGGCCCCTATCAGCGATCATTGGGCGATTGGGGGTCGATGCCCCCCCCCCTATGCCTATCCCCCCCCTATATCGTTGCCCCTGCCCTTCCCCCCCCCCCGGCGGTCCGAAGCGTGCCGGCGCGCGGAGGCGGCCTCCTTCTCGAGCTGCATGCGGGTGTCCTCGGCCTCGGCGGCGCTCTGGCCGCTCCTCTGCAGGAGCTGGCTGGCCTGGGAGGAGGAGGAGGAGGAGGAGGAGGAGGAGGAGGAGGAGGAGGAGGAGGAGGAGGAAGAGGAGGAGGGGGAGGCGGAGGAAGATGAGGAGGAGGAGAAGCAGGAGGAGGAGGGCGATGAGACAGATGCCGCTCCCTCGGGGGTCCGAGTGGATGGGGTCGGAAGACCATGCCGCCTCACCGATGCATCGACAACGTCGGCGATAGATCGGCGCCGTCAGCGTGAAGAAAATTGAGGTCCACGTCGAGCCGCATCGCCGATGCATCGCCGATGCATCGGCGATGCGGCACGATCCTCCGACCCCATCTGCGCAGACCCAATCTGGAAGGCCTGGACGAGACGGCAGGAAGGAGGAGAGGGACCCAAACCCCAAAGGCCTTGAGCAACCATCACCACAACACTTTTTTGTAGTCTTCGGGATCTGGGGCTCGTTTTCGGACTGCGGTGCCGCCAGAGAAGGGTCCAGGGCGCAAGAACGGATCCGTGAAGTTTTCTTGAGAGGTCTGAGGGCTTTGCGCTGATACAGATTAAGACATTGGAGGTCTGGGGAGGACAGGAGGAGGGGGGGAGTAGGAGGAGGAGCAAACGTCGCTGCGGGGGGCGACGCCCATGACACTACGCTCTGCGATTGCGTGCCATCCTCCGAAAGAGGAGGGGAGAGGAGTAGGATGGAGGAGGAGGGAGGAGGAAGGATGAGGAGAAGGAGGAGGAGGAGGATCGCCCGAGGATGAAGAGAAGGAGGAGGAGGAGGAGGAGGAGGAGGAGGAGGAGGAGGAGGAGGAGGAGGAGGAGGAGGAGGAGGAGGAGGAGGAGGATGGGGAGGAGGAGGAAGGAGGAGGAAGGACGCCGCAGGGCGAAGCACAAGGCACCAGGAGGGCGAGGACGAAGAGGCAGAGGGGGGGGGCAGCCGGCTCGCCTCGCTCCCCTGCTGCCGCATCTCGTCCTCAGGGGAAGAGCAAGTGAGCGAAGGAAGACGACACGGTCCAATCGCGCCGACGTTGGCGCGCAAGCTGCCCGCGCGAGGCCGCGCGTGAGCGCCCTCGTTGCCAACGTGGCCTGCCGCGCTGGCGGCCCGCGCAAGCCGCGGCGCTAGGTCGCTACGGCACGCCGTGCAAGACCCGCTCATTCTCGTCAAGGCAGAAGCCATCGCGTGCCGTCATAAGGAACGGCGGATGGGGAACGAAAGGGCTCCTCTGGTCAGTCATGGTGGGCCTCGGCCACGCAGGCGTTCCCCGACCCAGCGCCACAGAACGACCCGAAAGCCAGAGCCCCTCCCGAACCCAAAGCGATCCTTCTTTCGGCGTCATGTCCGTAGACACAAAACTTCCGGAGGCCCGCGCGGATTCATCGGATCGGCGCTGGGCCTCCGCCCTGGCTCAGGGGGAGCGCTGGGTGGGACCGGCCCAGAGGCGGAAGCATCGAGCCAGAATCGGCGATACACTGCCGACCAATCGGCGACAGGCCCCCGATAGCCGATCCGCAGGCTCTCGGGCGGGGAGGGCTGTATGGGGCCCCGATCGGCGATGCGTGGGCGATTGGGGGCCGGTGCGTCCCTCCCTCAGCCTATTCCCCCCCTAGCGCTGGGTCGGGCGTGTCCTCCTACAGGCGAATTTTGCAGGACAAATGAAACATGGTTGGAAGCAGGCAGAAGTAGTCGAAACAGCACGACAAATCGTCCCCAGACTATTTCTGCACCATTCTGGAATCTTCTTTCTGTAGAGGGACATTCTTGATTTGAGTTTAGCGTGGCCCCTGACTGGCGCGCAGAGCGCGCCAGGGTCCGCGCCTGGGGGCTCCTCGGGCCGATCCAAGAGACCCGAGCGGGCCCTCCGAAAGTTCGCGCGTATGTCTTTCTTTTCCTCTTCGAGTCCTCAAGCTTCGCCAGCTTTACGCTGAGCTCCACGTTCTCCCTCCTGCTCGTCTTCAGCTCCTGCCGGGCTGCACAAGATGAATCAAGGTTGACTCGGGAAATCGGATCGGCTCGGACTCTGCGTCGGACCCGGCTGCATCAACACGGAGCCGAAATCGAATCGCACCGCCCGCGCCGGGATTCACAGCAGCGCCATGCAGACAACGGGCCCCACCAAATCGTCGGAACATCGGAGCCGAATCGGATCGACATGGACCCAGAGACCTCGCTTTCTGGGCCACAACTTCCGTCTCAGGCGGCCGTTCCGGACGGTCCAGGCAGCCCTGGAACGCTCCCGGCATCGGTCGGGCGGCGTCGGCCGAGGACGCTTCTGGTCTCGATGGTCGGCGTGGCCTTGGGCTTCGCGGTCCCCTGCGGCTCCGCGGTCCCCGATATGGGCGCTGATGGAGTGCAGCGCGGAGGCGCGTAAGGGGTGGGACGAGGGTCACCTGGAGCATAGCAGGGAGAAGGCTTGGAGGGAGTAGTAGGGAGCAGAGCGGATGGGGGAGGAGAGGGGGGAATGATAGCGCGAGGGGGATGGTGATGATGATGATGATGATGATGATGATGATGATGATGATGATGATGATGATGATGATGATGATGAGGAGGATCATGCTGGTGACAATGATGATGATGCTGATGCTGATGATGATGCTGATGCTGATGCTGCTGCTGCTGATGATGATGATGCCGATGCCGATGACGATGATGCTGCTGATGATGATGCTGTTGCTGATGATGATGATGATGATGATGATGACGATTCTGATAATGCTGATGACGATGACGATGATAGTGATGATGATGCTGATGATGATGATGACGAGGAGGTGGATGATGATGATGAGGAGGTGGTGGAGGAGGATTCTCTCGATGGTGATGAGGATGAAGAGGACGAACTTGACCAACACAGTTTCGTGATCTGCGGCGAAGGGCGTGGTTCAGCTGCGATCGGGCGAGAGGACTTGAGTAAACCTAGGATGCCGCAATACACCCTCCCGCCTCAAATCTCTTACTCGTGAATCCTTAGAAGCGTTCCTTTCCACTGATTGCGGTGAGCGCCAATTTGAATTTCGCGTCTCCCATAGAGGATGCAACGCAAGCGAGATCGTCGTTTTGAACATCCCCATCCTCATAACTATCCGCGACCGTGCCGCCATGAGGTACTGAATGGGGTGTCTTTGGGCCCCTTCGAGCTGTCAGTATCAAATATGGCAAATCCTCGACAACTGACGGGCGCTCTCGGGCGCTGATGAGTTTCCCGCGAGGCCCTTCTCTTCACTACCATCGTCCTCCCGTATCCCCAGGGCCTCACAAACCGAAAACTCACAAACGATCGAAATAAAGAGGTAGGCGGTAACATTGTAAGACGAACACGCGCGGAGCAGGCGAGAGTTACATTTCTACAACCACCTCCTTCCATTTGTGTATGCACCTGTTAAAACATTTTCGTAGAGCCTCAATCTCACAGATGGTGATGGGATCTCACGCGGAAACGCCTGGCCCACACTGCCGACACGTCTGGTGGTGCGACGAGGAGGGCGTACTTGCAGGGAAGAAGAGGGACGGAGGAGAAGCAAGGGGGCGGAAGTGGAAGAGGAGGGAATCTTCCTTCGCCTCCTCCTCCTCCTCCTCCTCCTCTTCCTCCTCTTCCTCCTCTTCCTCCTCCTCCTCCTCCTCTTCCTCCTCCTCTTCCTCCTCCTCCTCCTCCTCCTCCTCCTCTTCCTCCTCCTCCTGCTCCTCCTCCTCCTCCTCCTGCTCCTCCTCCTCCCCCCCCGCCCCTCTTCCTTGCCCTCCCCCTCGCCGGGTCCTCCTCGAGCTCCCGGATGGACGCCTCGGTCCCCTGGGCCATCTCCTCCACCTCCTCGGCCTCCACTGGGCCTGAGGCCTCGGCGAACTGCTTGCGGATCTGGTCGAAGAGCGCCCTCTGGTTCATCAGCGTCTTCCGCCCCTCAGGCTCGGCAGATCGCTCCTCTCCGACAAGGGGTGGAGAAGGAGAAGCAGGAGGAGGAGGAGGAGGAGGAGGAGGAGGAGGAGGAGGAGGAGGAGGAGGAGCAAGAGCAGGAGCAGGAGCAGGATGAGGACGGGGGAGGAGGAGGAGAACGGGGTGGGATATGACGACGATGAGAAGGGTTTTGCCCTCCTCCAGAGGGGCGTCTTCGGCGTTCGCCTTCTTCGAGACGGGGGACTGGCTGTCTATGCGGCTCAGGAGCTCGCTCCGAAGCTGGTCCAGCGAGCTCGACCTTGCATGTTCCTCCTGCTGCCGCTCCTCTTTCTCAACCTCTTCCACTTCCTCCTCCTCGTCTGCGTCCGCCTCCTCTTGCTCCTCCTCCTCATCCTCCTAAGACGCGCCAGGATGGATCGGTCGATGCCGCGCGCATGCGTCGGCGTGCGCAGCCGAGCTGGTCGGATCGGGGATGGCGTCGCCCTCCCCTCCTCCCCTCTGGCGCAGGCAAGTAAGCAATCCCACCAGACCTCTGGGCGTGCGCGTCGTTCATTTCTAATCGTGCTCATTTCTAGTTGTGCTCGTTTCTAACTCTTCTTGGCCCCCCTAGTGGCCAGGAAGAGGCCCAGGATAGAACAACTAGAAATGAAAGGATCTGGGCCCCCAAACAAGTCAAAACATTTTGGAATACTTCGAAATGCTCAATGTGTAGGTGGTCAAACGAGTTCTTTCTCTCATCTTCCAAGACCCCTTCCCCACCCTCGGGGAGAGGTTTTACCCCTCCCCCATATCCGCTCCTAGGGGTCTGGACGGGGGAAGGGGGGGGCAGCGACGGATTAGAGGTTCCTTCTTCGCTCGTAGTGGCTTCAAGGAGGGCCTCCGATGCTGCAAGGTGGCCTCCAAGACGGCTGCAAACTATAGCCAAAGACAATTCAATCTAGCTTCCGACATACCTTTGGACGGTCCGAAGATAGCCACAAGACGGCCAGAAGTGCTCTCGGAACTACCCCCATGGATCCCCCCAAGAGGCTAGCATCCCTCAGAAACCCACGGAGCATCATTTATTTTTGTCTTATCGTCCTTTTGCATGTTGCTTGCGAGGGGCTTTTCAGGCCTCCAAGGGCCCCAAGATGACCCCAAAGAGCCCCAAGATGGGGCCCAAGAGGCCCTCAAGATGGCCCCAAGAGGGCCCCTCCTCCTCTGATCGACGCCCTCCAAGATGGGCCAACAGACTCTCCAGGGCTCCAAGATGGCCTCAAGACCCCCCAAAAGGACTCGTGCTGCGCGGCCCAGCTGTGTGCGCGGTCGTTGAGTGAATTCTGCTCCCATGCTTGGCTTGCCTTTTCCATGGTTTTCCCGCTCACGCGCCTGGCTTGAGCCTTTCTCACGCGTGCCTTGGGCGGCCACGCGGAGGAGCAGCCCAGTTGCCCATCTGCACCGAGCTAGGCCGGGCCACGTCCTGGGCCTGTCACCAGGGTGCATGCTTGACATGCGGGAGAGGGGTCCTGGTGGCGACAGTTGCTGGCCGCCCCGGGCCCTCCCTGGAACCAATCTTTCGCCCTCGTTCTTCGGCGGCCCCAGGGCCCCGGCAGGGCCCTGGGAGCCCGAAGACGGCGACAAGCCCGCAGGGCCCCTCTCCTCCTGGGGCCCACTCTCGCTCGTGGCGACGTGAGCGGCCCTCCTGCGATGCTGGGACGGCGTGCCCACGGATCTTCGGGGACGCACTGACCTGGGCCGGCCCAAACCGGGTCGGCCAAGGCCCTGCCGCGAAGCCCGGCAAGCCGCCCAATGGCTCCCAAAGCTGGGTCAGCCGGAGGGAGGAGAAGGAGGAGGAGGAGGAGGAGGAGGAGGAGGAGGAGGAGGAGGAGGAGGAGGAGGAGGAGGAG